ATTTCGGGGACAACCCCCGTATCAGGGACACCTCCCCCATTTCGGGGACACTCCCCCCCCCAAGCTTTGGCCAGCCCAGACCTTGCTGCATCCTACGACTGCTGCCTCAGTGCATCACACACACACACACTTTGCTTTGCACCCCCAAAAATGTGGGGCTGCTTTGTGCACGCTTTTTCTCTCCCCCCCCCCCCCTTTTTCTCCCCCAAATCCCCAAACAAAAACTGGGGTGGTCTTTTTTTCCCCTTTTTGGGGATCTCCCGTGTTTTTTGGGGGTGCAGAATTCAAAGGAGGGGGCTGCAGAGGGTGTTTGTGGGGCCCTTTGCCCCAGAGCTGGAAGGAAGGAAGGAGAAAAAGAAAAATTAGGTTCAAAGTCTGGAGGTGCCTCTTGGCAACACGTCTGGGCACCCCACATCTGCTGTAGGGGCTCAACCCCTTCAAAAGCTGCTCAGAAGTGATGGGGGGAACTGTGGCCCCTCCTGGCATGTCCCGGTGGGGGGGTCTGGGGGGGTTTATCAGCCAACATTGTCCCCCCCATCTAGGTGAAGACCCACCTCCAAGCCCAGACGATGGGAGCCATGGCCGTGGGTCACCAGCACAACCACGAGGTGAGCAGGGACAGGGACACACGGGATCTGGTGGCACCTTGGCCGTGCCCGCGCCGGGTCCCCGGGGAGGACAATGTTATTTTGACCGTCGGGTATTTATTTAAAGCTGCTGTTTGGCAGCTCGGCCCCATATAGATGCTATAAATAAACAGTCCAAGGACAGAGAAGGGGGTGACGGGGACGTGGAGACATTGTCACCAAATCCAAACACCCCTCGGGACTGATGTCACCCGGCTGGAGCTGTGGGGGGCCACGATGAGCCACGGGGAAAGTTTGCCAGAGACTGGGATGCACCGTTCCCATTGTTTGGGTTTTTTTCCCCCCTCCCAAATTTCCTCTCTTCCCAGAACATCTCCAGAGGTTTCAAGAGCATCTACAAGCAGCAAGGGGTGGCGGGGCTGTGGCGGGGGGTGACGGG